TCATGTTCTGTCCTTTCCTGTAGGACTGTTTTCTTTTTAACCAATATGCTGCAGAGAACGTGCACATTGACTTTTAGTTTATTCCCATAACGAAAGCCACTAGACACTGGAATTAAATTAAGAAGTTAGACTGGTAGCAGAAGGTACGTTTGTAAGAATGCAGTAGAATTCAGTGAAGTAAAATGCAAAGCACATGTTTTCACAGCAGTGCAGATCTTAAAGCTGATCTAACAGCATTAATTCCACAAAGATCTGACTCGATATATTCACTCTTCGGGAATGTTTTTCCACAGTTTGTTAACTTAAAAATTCATAGCTAAGTAATAATCTTTAGATATTATATTTAGATAATCCTTCCCTCAGACTTTAATAGTGTAAGCTGTACTAATTTATATCTTGGCCAGTATTCCAAAACATATCAGGAAATCCAGGAGTACTGCTCGTAAGAAGCTTATCTAGAGGCACAAAATTGTACTGTGTGGTGCCTAATTTGGCTTTCAAATTTTTGAATTCCGGCAGTAGCACTGAAGTGCAATTTTGTTTTGAGACCTGCACTCCAGGCCTGCTCTATATAACAAGAACTGCATGAAACTTCAAGGAAATGCTCATAATTAAAACTTTGTTATTTGAACCCACACAGGGTAGATGGCTTTATGCGCTGTTGGCATGCCTTGAAAAGCCTTTGCTACCTGAAGCTCACTCCCTTATTCGACAGCTGGCAAGACGATGCTCAGAAGTCAGAGTACTAGAGGTAACGTTTAATATAACATTGCGCAAAGGACTTGCTGAACTTAGCAAATTATTAGGAGGATGATTTTTCAGTTCTTGAAGTCTTGTAAGTAATTTTTCGTGTTCTAAGTTTCTTCGAGAATGAAGGGAAGACTACAAGCATGTAACATGGCATGTAACAGCTTTTCTGTTTGCCACAGGTAACAAAAGAACTGTTCTAATATTTATTTCAGGAGAACAAGAATGAAGAACAAATGTCAGCTCTGAACTTGTTAATCTGCTTAGTTAGCAGGTAATGCCACTTACATACCTAAAACAGTAAAGTATGTCCAGAATAAATAAGTGATTACTCTTGTCCTAACCTAGACTCTTTTAAAGCGGAAGTCAATTAAAGTACCCTGGGCCCATGCAGCAAATATACTTAGCTAAAAGGACTCAAGATAAACCTAAGAGTAAAGTAAGCTTATTGGTTTCCTCAGATGAGCCTCCTGAACTGCAAAGCTATAATTATGACAGAAACACTATAAGAAGAGCTAGAAAGCAAGGGGTCTAACAACTCAGAGCAAAGTAAGGAGTATGTTGCATTAGAGGTTTCTTACTGTATTCCACTTCTCTCCACCAGGTACTTTGATCAACGTGACTTGGCTGATGAGCCTTCCTAGACTGTTTTGAGAATATCTAGTATTTTGCCTTGCCATAGCACAAACAGCATTATCAGAGTTAACAGCAAGACACTGCACTGTTCAGACCTGAAGTACTATACAACCCCTTCAAAACACCCTCATGATAATGCATTTGGGACAGCCATGAATAACTTAAGCTAAGCTTTAGCATGAGATTGTCAATGTCTCCGATACCATCGTCACCATAAAGTGGTCAATGAAGCATCTGGCATCATCTCTCAAGCTACTGTCTCTGTAAACTACATTCGTGGTTAGAAATTTCTACCATCTGAGTAGTCCTGTGAACACTGCTGTGAGGTGAAGTCTGAGGTTACATTACAAATGATTGTTCTTTGTCTTACACACACCTATTGAGGGCTTTTTTAATAAAACTGAAGCATTTTAAAGAGAGTTCTTAAACATGGTGGCTTTTCTCATTCTTCATACTATTTAACAGCAGCCTTACTATAGGAATCTACACAACTAGGACTGAACATGTTTTTTCAAGCTTTGGTTTCTGAGCTTAAGCACTGCTAAGCAGTTCAACTACAGCCAGTAAGTTACTGAAACAATTATTTTAGTACAACATAAAAATTACTACTTCCTGAGTAGTAATACTATTTTTTAGTGAACGGTTGCAGAAACCAGTGAAAATTACACAGCTGTATTCAATGCTTTTTAATAGAAGCATTTATATGAACAAATTTATTTTCTGTATGGTATCTTGACAAATACATTAGCTCGCTTATTTATATATTTAACATGGAGTGCTTTGCCAAGAGTATCAGCATCTGCTTGGTACATACGTGACTCTCTCTGGTTCTAATTATCTTCAACAATTAAAAATCCATGTTAAAGGAACTATGAATTCTACTGATAGCAGCAAACTGATACACAGTCTTAACTGACATCTGCTTTCTGTATATTGTAGAATTTAAGTCCTTCCCCTCGCTATTAAAAGTAATCATTAACCACAACCAGTTATTGATAAACCTTTAATATGTCCTTGAATGACTGGCACTTTTGCATCTGGAATGGTAGTCTTAACTGTCCAGCGAAAAATCAAAGTGAATTACAATAACTACTAGAGTTTTAATTCTGGAGATGCAGGTAACTGATTCTGAATATGCTGATACTGAATGTCTGCCACACTGCAGATGCCTAAAATGCGATGACGTTGAAATGCCCATCTTTTAGACATACAGTGCGAGTTATTTCTAGTCTCTTTAGCAGCATTTTCAGCGTGTTGAAAGCAGGATAAGTTGGCAACTGAAGAACCCATGAAATGCAAGAATACTAGTTAGCTAATTCTCTAGCGTTACAATTTCAAACAATTCTGAGTTACAAAGCTGCACAACAACCCCAGCCTTCCTATAAACTACCAGTATAAGAACCCAGCCTTTTCAATCAGTCGAACAGCTGATCCCCACCCACCGCGTACCATACCGCTGTAGTTACTTTCATCTTTGCTAGTTCCATAAACAGTGGGATGGCATTCTGCTAGTTCGAGTTCTGCTCTAGATGTTTCCTAGAACTGTCAAGTTATTCAGCTACAACTAATCTGAACTAGCATTCACAGTACCTGAAAAGATCAGAATTTGGTCACATCTTAAGCTCCAATACAATAAATCCCTGGTTATCACATTTATAATCTATAGCTTGCCAGCTTGTAACAGTTCTCTAGAAAAGGCTTCATCCATTACACACTTCAGACCTTCCCTAGAGCTTAGGGAAGAACAGCTTCTACTGTTCTTGCCCACCATGCAACTGCACAACATACGCTTCTCCCAACACAGAAGGTAGTCACAACAATCAAACGTGCTATTTTAACGTGTTAGCTTTTCTAGTTAGCCTGTTATTTACCGGTCTCAAAGTAGACACCGAATCGCTGTCACAAGGCATTCTCAGATGTGGGTTGACCTTGGCTGGACACCAGGTGCCCACCAAAGCCGCTCTATCACTCCCCTCCTCAGCTGGGCAGGGCAGAGAAAATATGAGAGGTTCATGGGTCGAGATAACGGCAGGGAGAGATCATTCACCAATTACCGTCATGGGCAAAACAGACTCAACTTGGGGAAAATTAATTTAATTTATTGCCAATCAAAATCAGAGTAGGATAATGAGAAAATAAAAACCAAACCTTAAAACACCTTCCCCCAACTCTCTTCTTCCCTTCCCCAACTTCACTCCCAATTTCTCTACCTCCTACATGGGGGTTGCGGTCACTTCATCACACGTTGTCTCTGCCACTCCTTCCTCCTCACGGGGAGGACTCCTCACACTCTTCCCCTTCTCCAGCGTGGGGTCCCTCCCCCGGGACACAGTTCTCCATGAACTTCTCCAACACGAGTCCTTCCCATGGGCTGCAGTTCTTCACGAACTGCTCCAGTGTGGGTCCCCCACGGGGGCCCAAGTCCTGCCAGCAAACCTGCATGGGCTCCTCTCTCCATGGGTCCACAGGTCCTGCCAGGAGCCTGCACCAGCACGGCTTCCCCCAGGGGCGCCTGGAGCACCTCCACCCCCTCCTTCTTTGCTGACCTTGGTGTCTGCAGAGTTGTTCCTCTCACACAGTCTCACTCCTCTCTCTGGCTGTAGTTTGTTGCCCAGTTGTTTTTTTCCCCTTCTGTTATCCCAGAGGCGCTACCACCATCATTGATGGGCTCGGCCTTGGCCCATGGCAGGTCCATCTTGGAGCCAGCTGGCATTGGCCCTATCGGACACAGAGGAAGCTTCTAGCAGCTTCTCACAGAAGCCACCCTTGTAGCCCCTGTCCCCGCAAACCCAATACATCACACTTCTGAATAAACACCATAAGTTTCTATTGTGATTCATTTGGAAGTATAAGGCCTGAACCTGCCAACAGAAGAGTCTTACAGTAAAATTCATTAAAAGTTTTAACAAGACGTTTTCATGCTTACCTACAGCAAGATATGTATTGTTATGCAAATCTTGTAACAAGTAGTATCTAGCAAACCCCAATGTCCTCAAGAGTCTTGGTGATGTCTTTATAGCTTCTTGCAGGCCTAATCATCTTCCTGCACACACTCATTACAGAAGTGACTTGTAGCTAGCAATTAAAAACAATTACATTAATATTGAGTTTATGCACAAGAAGCTAAACCAAATTTCCTTCTTTGGCCAGTATACCTGACCTCAGCTGTAAAATTATTCTGACACAAAGAACAGCTGCTAACTCGAGGGAGGTAGGAGAAACTGTTTAACTATGTAGAAATGCATTCTCTTTTCTACTGCCCCATATCATTGCTACAAAGGAATTAAGCCTCCACTGAACACTGTTAATGAAGGCTGTATTCATGTGCTAATGGCTTCCTCAGAGCAATACAAAAGTAATTGCTGCCTCACAGTTCAGAGTGAATAGGGAAAGGTAGCAGTTGGACGTTCATCTTAGGTGACACAAAACACATCAGTGCCTTATTCCAATTTAGTCTTGGTCAGGCTTTTACTCTGTTCTAAGAACGTGCCTCCGGTCTTCCATATGTGCTGTTTTGGTAACTGAAATATTTTGCTGAAAACTTTTGAGTAGACAGTTTTTACCATGTGGACATTAATACCTTGGTATAGAATAAATTTCATACCAAGATACAAGGATAGTGTTGTTTTGATGAACATTTATTATACATTTTGGAATTGTGCTGCACACTGCTGTAATTTACAAGCTACATACAAAGCTGAACCAAGATACTGAGCCCACACACAAAGGATTGTTAAGGTAGATACCCAGATTTGAATGTGCTCTACATCTTCTGTATCATCACCTGAAATTTACCTGCAAAGAAAAAGCAAAGTCAGATCAAAGTATCACTATTAGAGTTATTTTTCCATGTAATTATTTTCCTGTAATCATTTTGTTAAAAGAAATAGTAAGGAACATTTCAATATTACAGTTTAATTGTGAACAATCTAGCCATTATTTAAATTTAGCATTTAAATTTAACTCCAGCTGAACAGCTTTTTCCTTCTTTTCTTTTTAAGTTGATCCATATCCCACATCACAACAGTTCTGTCAGCTAAATTTAAAATTTGTGCAAAGTCTGTGAAAATTTTTAAATCCACCTTACAGCTTGGGTAGTTAGAATGGACCTCACTTAATAACTTTTTTAACAACTTCTGTAGAGAAAAAGCATGTATCTAGTTGTTTTTATCTTCACTTGTTCAAATGGCCTTCTGGAGGTACATACTTATGCATTTGATGCTTCCAAATGTAAATACAACTTTTTAGTTTTGCTTTCCACTCAATATCATGAAGGTTCACCCTCTTTTGGTATTTTCTAAACACTAAAGCATTTAGTGACAAGCCATATCCTGAAGCTCATGCTGAATCCTATGGCCCAGCAGCTTCAAATTAATCCCACCTTGATAAATGCTTCTACAGTGATGAAGTCAGTAAGGAAAGTCACCAAATGAGCTAATTATTGAATACTCCAAGAACTACTTACATGCAGGCATTGATGAAACTTCAGCTGTTACAATACTCTTTATTCCCAAATTCGATAGGCCTCCTCTGATTAGTCCACAGGTAAATGCTAAATACTAAATATAAAGTTGCACTTTAAATAAGTGTCAAGGGTGAAGCTTGTTGCTAAAGATTGAAACTAAGTACTCAAGAACAAGACTTGGACAATATAAAACTATGGAGGTTTTGTTACCATGCTTAAAAGACTTCATCATGTCTCTAATAGATGAAAGCTCCAATATTTGGCACAGCGGAGCTCACAATACAGATTTCTCTTGTTAGAGGCACTATCTTGAGTCACCTGTTTCTATTTCCATTAAACCTGTAAGAACTTATTGTCCTTAAAGCAATTATTCCCAAGACTTGGCTGAAATTAGCAACTGGTATCAAAGTCAATAAAGGAGAAACAGTCCAAGATAGCATTCTTGGACAGGCCACATCTTAGAATACAAGGGCCTGCAGATATTTAGAATGTATGTTGCAAAACAGAACATCTCACCAAACACCAAAAAAAAATCCCAAGGACGGCAGCCTGCAATTCTGATGACTAAAATGATCAAGAATTAAGAAACCATAAAACAGAACTGAATGCCCCATTTCTTAAACCCACCTGAACCAAAGTGCTTTTGTAAGAGGTTCTGCAGAGACACTGATTTTACTTACCTAAACTACTACCCTAACTCAGCATCTACACTCAAAACTACTTTTAATCAGTGGAAGATCTTTCGGAATGTTCATAGAATCTCAGAAGCTTGTTCTAGGTAACAAATAGCATTTTCCAAATACGTTTTGGAAATTTTAAGAAAGCTTCTGAAAGCGCATGCTTTCCAAAGAGAAAGAAAGAATGAATTTGTGTGATAGTGGCAGATAGAGACAGACCAGCTCCTACCATCAAGTAACTCAAACATGACAACAGCAAGTTTCACAGCAACTATGACCATTTCTTGAACCATAAATCAAATCCACTGTTCCGAAACAAGATGCCTTTCCAAAAAGCACAGGTTTTAGAGGCTAAACTTTAGCTGCCCTTTTGAAGAGTTTGCATCCACTCGATTACAAAATGTAAAGTTATTATTAATAGATCAAGATAATTCAAATCAAACTGGTAGATCCCAAGGATAAAACTGAAGGGTACCTTTGGTGCATGTTCTAAATACTGCTTTCCTGCAGACATTTGTGTCAAGAGACGAAATTTATTGTCTTGAAGGACGTAAATACCCTGGGTAAAAATAAAAAAAGGGGTTTTAGTTAAATATGCAGTAACATGCAATCAACATTTTATGTGAAGGGATTTGATTTGTAGATACAATATAAATGCTCTCAAGTTGAAAAATGAAATTTTAGATTAAGGCATATGTGATTTAAGTTTAAACTGTATTATTTACTTACATAAAATATCAAAACAAAAGAAAAGATACTTAATTGTGAGTTTACAACAAAACCCCTAGATAATAATACGATCAGTTAACCTAAAAATGTTTATTTACACTCTTCTTGGAAGAGTTCTTCCAGTGCTCAAAAATAATCGCTCCATATTAGAAAGTCTTTGTAAATAATCGCTCCATATTAGAAAGTCTTTGTTAACCTATCAAATGCATGCTGATTTTTACATTCAAACCTTAATCTTCATTTGGTATGCAATTCACTATTCTTATTCTCAAATTCAGTGAGAATTATCTACTTTAATAGCAATACAGGCAACACCACCCAGCAGATGATCAAATTATAAGTCTAGTGTTTTCTACATTACAATTGTGTACCACAATATGCATTTTAATAAATTAAGTATGAACACAGTATAATTTAATCTACACCTGTAATTTTAATTTCTTTGCTAATGACCGTGCTACTTTAGAACTTCATAACCCTTAAATTAAGGCTGCATGTAGAACTGAGACATAAGCTCAATACTGCAGCTTTCTTTGCATTCAAAAACAGATTTCTAAGGTAATTATTATCTGTTGAAGTTCTTACTTGATAAACAGTTCACTGAAAAGTAAAATGTATTCTATTTGGCACAATCCTCGTACAAATTCTCGTTTCTACTTTGATACAACAGGAAAATAGCCATAAGAAAACCAAGTCATTCAAAAGGAAAAACATTTTTTACTCTAGCAAAATGGCTCCTTAAACTATTTTGATCTTGCTTTAAGACCCGTGGCTGTTGATATAGGAAAGGACATAGATACAACACAGCGTCACTGACATGCAAATCTGGGAAGTTTTTCAGCTGTTTCTTACACAAGTATGTTCAGTAAGTAGAGTGCAACTAAGTGTCTCAACTGCTGAAATCTCTAAATATTCTTCAAAATAAAAAAATTACTTCAAGGCAGACATTCTATTTAAATAGATGTTAAGACTTTCTCACACTAGTTTTCTACTAAAATTTATGGAGAGATATATAAAAAAGTTCCTGTTTAAGTGTTAAGCAACTATAACTGCTACTGTCCTGTCAGTTCGTAACTCTGCCAACAGTGCATATGAAATTAAAAGCATTTAGTATTTCCAAACAGAGTGGCAAAAAAGACATCACGAGCAATTATTAAATTGTGTTCTGAAGGTACACACTAACATGAACCATAAAAACCTGCTTTTTAAACAAAACAAATAAAGAACTTATGCTTATACTACAGCATAAGTACCTGATGATTAGTCCTTAGGTTATCTATTTGTTTTTTGAATACAGTTGTCCAAAAATCTTTGCAAATGAACTTCATAATATCTAATTCATCCTTGAATCTGGCAGTATCTTTTGTAAACCTAAGAGATAAGCGAGAAACATATCAATAACGAAGGTACACACACCTTGATGGATTAAACAGAAAATACAAAAAAATGGTACTATGCAACATTATTTCTGAGGCTGTTATAGAAATTAGTTTTCCAACCATTGCACGGTATCATTCTAGCACCACTCTGCATTCATCAAGTATTTTAACTATAGAGCAACACAGTGTTATCTTAATACCTGCAACATGACAGCAAAACAAACGGTTTTAGTTATATGATTATTAAAACCAGCTGAAGTACAGAAAGATGCAAAGCACTCCATCAGTTTTATCTTCAACTAAATGTCTAAGTAGAAGAAAAACAAAAAGTTCACACCTATACTACTGCTTGGAAGGAGTCCTTCAAGTATGCAAAAAAGCACTAACACATACGAACAAACATGTAAAACTTGTTCCTCATTCCCAAAAAGGGACCTCTTTCTCTTGCTTATTTCAGAATTCTGTCCCTTTATCTTCCTTGAGGGTCCTTATCTGGCACTAAAGCACCACTTTATTCAACGAAAGCATGACTTCAGAAGCTCAAGAGTCTCCACACGACCTCAGAACGAGGGCGCTGAAGTTGGATGTGCAGCAAGTCATCGTGCATCCCCAAAGAGCCCGGGGAAACAAGGAGGCAACGTGCTCGGTCACCAAGTTCCGAGGACTGAGAGTGCTTTAGAAAAACGAAATGGAGTAGCCGCTCATAAAATTACGTTTAAGAAATAAATTAGAAAGAGAAGAAAATCATGAAACATACCAGAAGCAGGAAACATGCAAAAGTAGGTCTACAAAAAGTGCGCTTAAAAAGGATTGTCAGTATTAAAAGTAACCATATACCCCGACTCAGTTTTCACGACGGAAAGCACGGGGAAAGCACACACTCCACAACCGTCCTGTCGTATTCAAACACAGGTCCCCGCAAGAACCAGATGCCAGAACGTATAACCAGAGGAACACATCCGCAGCACGACCCCTGTCCCCCCAGGGCGGCGAGCCGCCTGCCACCGAGCGGGCGAACGCTCCGGGCCCCACAGGCCGGGCCGGAGGGGGCGTGGGCCCTCGCCGGGCCGGCGCAGGGGAAAACCCCGGGGACGAGCACCGCCCGCCGGCGCCGGGAGGAGGAAGAGGGGCGAGGCTGCGGCAGCGGCGGGGACTCACCTCTCGATCAGCCCCTGCCCGACGCGGAAGCCCATGCTCTCCAGCTTGGTGGTGCAGCGCCCGTTCTCCTGCAAGACACAAGGCGCCGCCGCCGCTTTACCCCGGCCGCTGCCCGGCGGCCCCCGGGGCGGCCCCGGCCCCACTCACCCCCTCGCCCTGCTCGGCGGCGCGGTACAGCCCCGCCACCATCTCGTTGTGCAGCAGCA